TATATATATATATGGACACCTAATAACAAGTTTATATATATATATATTTATATATATATATTCATATATATTCATACAGTAATATATATATATATTTCGTATACTTCTTTAGCTACACTTATTAATATGTTATAGACGGCACTATTAATACACTTATTAATATGTAGTTTATTGACATTTGCTCGAGAAAAAAATAGAATAGAAATTCACCAAATCTTGAAAGCCTGGAAAATGACATAGTAGCTTAGACGTTTAAAAACAGTCATTTTAAGTTAATAGTGAGTAACTTAACTTAAGCCTTTATGTTAGATGGACCATAAATTGCTTAAATTAATTCTTTTTGTCCACTGTAAAAAGAATCAAAAAAGTTTTTGTTGCTGATACGCACAGAATAAAATTGTGTATGATAATCAATCATTAAATAAATAAATAACTTTGATTACATCCAAGCATATTACAATCATACATAAACTTGTTATTAGGTTAATATTTGCTCTCCCTCCTTACAGTATTAGCAGTTAAAAAAAATTTCTGGTAACACTTGAATGTCCTGGCATTCCTAAGCCAGGAAAATGACAGCCAGGATAATGACAAATTCGCCATTTTATTGCATATAACTTTACTTTAATTTAATATTTTGGCCTAAGACGTTCATATTCTGCAGAAAACAACAGGATTTCTTAAAATAACTCAGATAAATCTGTGTAGTTTATGTTATTAATGATTTCAAGAAACCAGGAAAATGACATCACAAAAACCTACTCACCTTGAAATATTTTTTGAAATAGATTTTGAACCTGAAAATTGGTTCTTTATTCATGCAACAAGACATGTTCATATAGGAGGGTATCTAATAAGTCTATTAACATAAGATATTGACTGCTGGCTCTATCTATTTTGGTTATAAACCACTAAATAAAAGTAGTCAGGAAAATGAGATTTTCTTGGGACAAACAAATTATTGACAGAAGAAATCATTTTAAACGAAGTTTTTATAAATAATACACTCTACTTATATTCTAGAAATGCTTACACCAGTTGAGATAAAAAAAATTATATATTGAAAAATTTATGGGAAGTTTTGAAGCTAGTTATTATAGGAAGCATTGTTTGGGACATGCCAGGAAAATGACATTTTGATATTCAATTAAATTTTTTAACTTATCAAAACAGTCAATGCTAGTGCAAAGTCATTTTAAAATGCTAACGGCTATGTTATTTATTAAGTTTTTAAAATGCAAAGTTATTTTAGTATTATAGTATTAGATCTTGGAGCAAGTAACAGTGAATTGTCATATTTCGTGAGAATCACCCATATATACTATTTTTTATTATTTTTTTTGCTGAACTGCATTTAAAATCTAGTAGAAAAAAATGAATGCATCTTAACAAGTTATAAAGCGATACGCAAAAAAATTAAAAGCTACATTATAGAGATAAGATGTTTACCCGTTTTCATGACTAAGCTACTTACATCAAATTTTTCTGTTTGTAACAAATACTTGAAAATCAAGAATGATGAAAAGTTATGTTTACTTAGAAGAACTAAGATTTTTTTTAAACTTCTGATTACAGGAACACATAGTGCCTGTGATAAAAAATTAAAATACTTGAAGTATCTTTCTTTCAACGAAGAAGAGAATTGAAAATGTTCGTGCACATAAATCCAAGTAGGGATTTGAAACTGGGTGCTCGAATTGCAACGTTACTAATGGGCTCTTAGTCCGTGATAGCCTGTACGGCAGGGTGCTGGACTCACGTTCATGGGAATGGGACTTTGAATCAATCTGGCCGAAGTAAAATGGTGACTGGTGCACATTACACTTGTCAGTTAACAAAATCCTCCATGCTCCCATATCAAACTAGACCTCTTTGGGTACTGAATTGGACAAAGATCACTCTGTGGTTCAGGCCAAAATTACGATCTGTGGATGAAGGAATAGTGTGTGAATGGGTCTGCCCTATAAAACGACTGTGACTCGCGGGTGCAGTAGAGGTTGAATTTTTGGCCATAGGTGGCACCACTGGAAAACAAGAAAAATCTCACCACTCTGCCTTAATGGCAGAAAACAACAACAACTACTGGGCTCTCCTCTTGTTTGCTGACGTTCTCCAACCCCCAAAGATCGCTATGGCATTTAATATGGTTCAATTTGCTCTCTACTAAGTTGAATCCATTTGAAATGTATTCTAGCTTGAAATCTAAAGAGTTAAACCAATTATTAAAATATCTAAAACTATTTCCTTTTTTGAAAGAAATTGAAATTTAAGTCAATAATTAGCTATTGAAGTAAAATAAATGAAATAAATGATTTGCAGCAGAAAAAACTATCAGGAGCAAAACAATTATTCTTTAAGAAAAAACCCATATGAGGGCACAGCTCCATGCATTATATCATTGTTACGCTGTTCATAACTGTCCCCAACCTTTCGTCTGCTCAACAAAAACGATTTTTCATTATACTTAAAAAGAAACCCTGATGGCTGATGAGTAGAGCATTCGCCATCCAAGGTGGTGAACCGGATTCGAATCTCAACAATGGTTGGTCTATACGAATTCAGTTTCCGGCTTGCACCGACCATAGTGCTGGCTTATAATAACATCAGTGGTAAGCGGATCATGGGTTAGAGTGCCCTTTGTCATAAGGTTAACGGTTGGAGGTTTTTGAGGTTTTCCTCTTCGTGTAACTCAAATGCGGGTTAGTTCTATCAAAAAGTCCTTCACGAATTCTTATTTCTCCCAATACTTGGTTCAGGAGTTATCTTGTCTTCTGGATTAGGATCAAATTTACAAGGTTACGGAGTTGGACATTAGTAGTCGCTGCTCAACGACGGTTATAAAATAAAATAAACTTAAAAAAGTGTAACAGCTCGTAAAATACTCATTATTTAATGAATAACTTTAACAATGAATATAATTATTATTATTGCACTAGGCTAAGTATAATAAACATAATAGAGAAAGAACACTTTGTTTATTTGATTCAATTTCAACCTTTCAATTTCTCTTGACTAAAAAAGAATTTTCATTCAGAAATTTGTAAGCTTGTACGTTTTCGCTTTCATACTTATGATAGCTCATAGCATTGATATTTAATTATTTGTATACATGTATGTGTATACACATGTGTGCATGCATATATAGAGAAAAATGTATAAGCGGGACATAAATGTGTGCAAAACAGTAAAGGCAATATCAAACAGGATATAA